ATAGTAATTATCTTATATCTACAGATGTCTCTGCTATCTGTTATCATACCAGGAAGCTCTTTCAGAGCACTGAAGATGTATATCATAATCTTTGTCTCAACAATCTACAAGATTATCAAAGACTGTTTGTCAAGATATATCTGAATGAGTTGTTCTTCACTGATCAAGAACTCATTATCAATATTGATATCAATAATTTGATAAAGTAACTGATCAATTGTACATTCAAGAAGATCACTATCAAGTGAAAAAAGCAGTCTCAGGCTGATTCTGTGACTGTGAAAAAGAATAAGAACAAGAACAAAGATGAGGATAAAAGTACAACTGTATAAAAGTGCACTCACTGTAGAAGATATAAACATACTGTTGACAAATGTTTCATCTTACACTCTGATAAGAAGAAAAAGAAGATGGATAAGAAGAATAATGACAAGAAGAAAGAGAAGAAGAATGACTTAATAAGGTCTCAAGTAGCAGTAAATGCAGTAATTACAAAGATTGAGTTCTATTTCTCTTTCACAGTCACTGAAAAATCATTCTCTAGATCTTGATATTTGAACACATGTGCAAGTCTGAATATGACTGATGAGCTTTATTCTTTTTCAAATATTAAATCTTTTAATGATAACATCTCTGTCAATTCTGTGACTGAGAGAACTGAGTTTGTTAAGAAGATTGAAACAGTCACCTTGAAGATTGAGAGTGATGATATTAACTTGCAGAATGTTCACTATATTTCTAATATTACAGTTAATCTGCTCTTATCTATAAAGCTTGAAGATCAGGGATTCTAATTCACATTATCTTTCACTATTCTCTCATTTTTCATTTGCAGAGCTCTGAATGATGTCATTTTTCATACAGTTCAGACTGCTCAGAACAACATATATAAGATCAATGAACAGAAGTTCAATGAGGATTTCAATCATCTCAATAAGACAGTCAAGTATATTGTAATGATGCTTTATAAGTATGATTTTAACTGAAAAGTTGATCTTTCTGTGACTGCTGCTACTACTGTTAACAACATTAATTCTGCAGTTCTGAATACAGATCTCAAGAATACAAGAATATTAAAGACTCTTTTGAACTAGTACTGTGATCTCAGTCACATTCATACTGATGCTATAATTGCTATGATCAAGAATCTTCATACTGAAGTCATAATTTAAGATTCTAAGACTAAGTTCTTTTGTGAGAAATATGTCAATGCAGGTATAACAGGAGATTATTTGAAAACACTGATGTCTATATCTATTCAACTCATTGAGAAGATTTATATTGATCTTGTAAGTGATGAATATATATTAAAAGCTCTCTCTGATCACTTCTTAGAGTTCTGTCAGAGAATTAGATACTGAATACTTATCATCTGTGATGAAACTTACTACTGTTGAGTATATTTTTTAAAGTTCAAGAATGAGACTGTTCAATACTTTGAGTTATAGCTCAGATTCATGAATAATCTCAGATATACAGTTTCTGCTTTTCTACAGACTGATATTGATGATGTTTTTCAATTCACACATATACACACAGTCATGAATTTACATAGTATCAAATAAAAATCAACAGTATCACATTCATCACATCAGAATGATGTTTCTGAGTGTGAGATCTGTACTATTATGAGATGAGTTAGAGCTGCTCTTTTAAAAGATAATCTTTCTAAGAAGTTCTGAGCAGATGTTCTAGAGACAGTGATTATAATAATTAATAATACTTTCACATTTACAGTTCTTTACAACTCAAAATTTTGACTCTCTACTGCAGAGACTTCTATGATTTCAAGTTTATATAAGATTTCTTAATGTGCACTCATAAACACTCTGCTGAATGTGAGGCATTTTCACTGATTAAGTGTAAAGGTTTTTATTCACTTGTATAAATTTGAGAAGTCTGTGAATAAGCTCTCTTCACATACTGATTTCTATTGTATCATTGAATTCAGTGACACATTAATATATTATCTATGATATTCTAAATCTGATAAGATTATTGCCAGTAGTGATGTGAGGTTTCTGATTACTGAAAAATTGAAACTGGTTATTACATCTGTGATACTTATTAATTATATCAGTAAACTAAAACCTGATATTTATCTGATTAATAATGAAGATGCTTCTGATATTGATAATCTGAAATCTACATAATTACAGTCTGTGAAATTGCTGACTACTTATACTCTGAGCTCTGTTACAGATAACCTTCTGAAGTTCTATAAGAATGTGTAACGTGGCGGAACCGAAGCGGTAGCTAGTTAGCGGCGTCACGTAGAGGTAGTTGTTGAGAAGCTGTATAAGTGAGCTTGACTATCTTGCTTGAATAGTGAGCTTGTAGGCTACAGAGTTATTGCAAGAATATCACAGATATGATACTTAGTATACTAAGAAGATTGTATAAGAAATGCAGTAACTCTTGTATATATTTCAGTCAGAGAAAAACAAATCACTGACTTATTTAATGAGAAGTCAGTATCTAGTTATTCTATATAGATAATGAGTGAATACTCTTCTCTCATTTCATAAGTGAGAATAGTGAGAGTGATATCTCAGCAGTGTCTCACTGTTATGAAAGAGTAATCTGCTAATCTTATATAGAAGTGAGATTCTCATATTCATTAATCAGATCTTTCTATAATATATTCAAATGATATTATAGAGTTATTGAAAACTGGTTTAAATAGTCTGTGAAATGAATGAAATCATCTGTATAAAAGTAATGAGTCATGCAGAACTGCAGTGAGATCTTGACATAATCAGAGATATGATAATAATCTTCTCTTTAAGAGCATAGTTCTGATACTCTCAAGATTATCAGATTAGAAATTATCTTTGTTATATAACAATAGTTATCAACTGATTTAACAGCACATGTGCTGTATATAATATAAAAAAATAGATGAGTTTTTCTGCTAACTGTATAGATCTTTCTTTCTCATCTCTATTTAAATTAAATATGTGATAAGTGAGTTTCTTATATATTGATTTAAAATATGAGAAATGTAGTTAATAAGTGACTTACAGATCTTTTATCATATTTTATTCTATATATGAAATTCTCTGCAAAAGTAATATATTTTAGAGATAAAGCTAACAGTAGTGACAGAATTTTTCAAAAAGATCTTCTCTTTTTATGAAATATTTTTCTCTCTCTCTCTTTATCTGTAATAGTGAGTGCATAAGAGCATCATTCATGAGAGATAATAAGAGACTTATTCTGATATTTTCTAGTGAATAATAAATGTCTTTGTGATGCAGCTGCGGACCGCTCCACCACGAACTCGCTCGATTTTTCGAATAAGAACCCGCCGATAGATCCATCGAAAAGCCCTCGATCATACGAGCATTCTGACCCCATCGCCGACCGCATACCCTGTGTGGTGGTGGAGTTATCCAGCCAAACATGAACCGGACGTTGTTCAAAACTCCTGTGTGGGAGTATCCCCCGTTCTCCCCTACCACACCACAACCCCGGGCCAAAGTGCCATACAAATTGTAAGGTGAAGAGACCTAGCCATATGCACCAATCTTCTCGATTTTGGAAGATCCCCGATCTGTAGTTGTGGAGATATCTGAGGAGCGACCTCCGCGAAAACCCTGTCCATCTTTGATGTTCCAAAACACCAACACCAAGTCTCACCATTGTACCGCCCTTCCTAATCTGGCCCATCCCCGGCAGAAAAATACAAAAAGATACCTTGGCGATAATATCAAGTACATAACCAACAGCCACTTCTGAAGTGCAACCTCCGCGGTCTGTCTTCAGTGTATCTGAACATCAACGCCAAGTCTCGCCCTCGTATCACCCCTCTCAATCTGGCCCATCCCCGACAGAAAAGTACAAAAAGATACCTCAGCAACTGTACTCAATACATAATCGGCAGACACAACAACTATAAAATCAGTATATCCCAAGGTCTGACTGAGCCTTTGATCCCTGCACAGTGAGATATATTAAATCTAGTTTTAATACCTCAATATTCAATAGATTCTGCAAGGGATTGAGAACAGCAACACTAGGTTTCTATTGAATTTGAGAATTAACTCTATATTGATATAATCATTGACAAAGTCTTCTATTTTGAGATATAAATAACCAGTTCCTCTACATCCCGCTGGCAATATTTATATTATCATATAGAAACAGACTTATATTCTCTATAATATCAAGACTCTGAAGAGGGAAAGTCTTGATAGGAGATATACAGTAGTGCATATCTTAGCAGTTTCTATCTCATTCTTCTGCAGCAGTTAATGCAAAAAAAAAAAGATTTTAGAAATAGTTTTTTACTTCTCTTAAAAAAGTAAGGTGTTTTTCTCTGGGTTTTACACAATATTCTTACAAAGAATTAAAAACAGAGTTGTTTTCTGTCATAATTTCATATTCTTTTAAGTAAGAATTACTTTTTCAGTGACTGAAGAGCTTTCATTAATACTTAATTCTTTTTTACACTCTTTATTAACTGATTTGAGTTGCACACCTGTTGTGCGAGGAGAATTGGATAATTTAGAATAAAATTGAATAGTTTTAATCAATTTCTCTTCAAAAAATTGATTTATTTTTTGTCAGTTTTTCTCTCAAAAACTGTCATATCATCTGATTTACTATCAATTGATATCATACTTTTCCTCACTGTATCCCAAGAAAGAGATTGTAAAGATTTTATTGATTTATCTTAAAAATCAATTTTAGTTTATTAGATTCTCTTCAAAAATCTAACCTAGTTACTGAACTAGTGTGAAAAAAATCAGGTGTTTTATACACAAAAGTCTGCGATTCTTCTTTTGAAATAGTCTGATCAACTTTTCAATTGAAAACAGACTTAGAAACCTCTTAATTGAAACAGTCTGACCAACTTTTCAGTTCAAAAGAGTTTAATAAATATCTCAATTGAATTAGTCTGACCAACTTTTCATTGAGTAAGAACAATGAGTTCAAAAGTACACTCAGTTGATGTGGAAAAAGATGCTTTCTCAAATGCTATTTCTGAGATTGAAATTCTGAAGAGAAGAAAGAAAGAAGAGATAGAGAAATAACAAGTTCTTGAAATACAGGAACTTGAAAAAGCAAGTAAAATTCTTGGAAAGCAGTGTCTGAGTGAGATGAATGAAGAAGTTCTGTTAATTCTTCATACTCAGGCTAGACAACTACAGGAAGTGATCAAGTTCAAACTTGGAATTTCAAACACAGTTTAAAAAACTTTGAAAATTTCTAATACAATCACTGACTCTTCAGTTTGCTCTTCTTTCTTTTCTACTTCTTCTTCTTCTTCTTCTTTGAATCAGAAGAAAACATATGCTCAAGCAGCTGAATCTGCTGTCTCTAAATCTGCTGTCTCTAAACCTACTGTCTCAAAACCTGCTCAAAATTCTGAGAAAACTGAGAAGAATACTGCTCATGCCTCTATTCATAGAAAAGTGAAAAAGAAAATGCAAAAAGAGAAAAACTTCCAAATCTCCAGAAATAGAAGACTTATTCTCAAAGTCTCAAACCAGGACATTCTGCAAAGAAACAAGCTAAACTCAAATCTCATTTTCAGAATCAGAAATGAAATTAATCAGCAGTTCTTTTCTCAGTTAATGACTGATATTAAAGTTCAAAAACCAGTTATAGCTTCAATTGAATCATCATTCTTTGGAAACTCTATCATTCTGACTACAATGCCTGAATTCAGTGCAGAATTCCTTATTCAGAATGAGAATCTCTGGAAGTCAGCAGTAGAATCTTTGTTAAACACAACAATTCTATCTGAAAGAGATGAAAAGTGGGACAAATTCATTCTTCATGATATTCCAGTTGAAATTTTTGACTGTGAAGAAGGAATGCTACTTCTCAAAAATGAATTGGAAGAATACAACTCTATTCAACTGAGAAAGAAGCCTGTATGACTAAATTCAATTGAGTTCAGACAAAGCAGGAGAAATGCCTCTGTTCTAGTATATACAAAAACACTTGAACAGTCAAAGATCTCTGAAGTAAGAGTAGCAGGTTTGAAAATGAGAGTTCATGAATACAAAGACTCAAGGATGAACCTCAAAGCTCAAACACAGTGTTCAAACTGTCAAAGATATGGACACTTTGCAATCTCATATTTTAGAGACTCAAAATGTGCATTCTGTGCCAGAGATCACAAAACTAGTAAGCATAAATATGAAACATGCTCAAAAAGAGGTGAAATTTGTCAACACACTCTGCTTAAGTGCTCTAATTGCAAAGAAAAACATGCATCTAGCTCAAAAGAATGTATGTTTGCTTCTAGAACTCAAAAGAACTGGAGAAAAGATGAAGCTCAAAGTCAATCTAGAACTGAAGAGAAGAGTCAAGCCAGTAAACTCACAACTGCAAGCTCAAAAAGAAGAAACTCTCAACTATCTAAGTCTTCAAACTCCAACTCTTCAGCTAAATGTAAACAGAACTTGAATCCTCAAACTCCTGTTAAGATTAGAGAATTGAGAAATGACTCTGATGATAAACTAGATATAATGCAAGCAGTTGAGATTCCTACTTTTCAGAACAGTTATAATCTACTATCTGATGATAGTGATTAGATTCTACTCTACTCTCTTTTAGTATGAATATACAACAAAAACAATAAAAAAAGTTTAAAAACTCTTCAAAAATCACATTTATTCAAAATAATGTGGATAGAAACTCAAATTGTATTTATTCTTGTCTTCAAATTGCATTTGAACAAAAAGTTGATTTTATACTGCTTCAGGAGCTGAATTTTGATGCTGAGCAAAAATATGTTATTTCTCATTCAAGCTACTACTGCTTTTTACCTCAAAAGTCTGAGATAAAGTCAAGAGTAGTGATCTATGGAAGAAAGAGATCAAGATATCAATTTAATCTAAGATTTGATATCATGTCTGACCCTGATATTCTGGTGAGTGATATTATAGATAAAGAAAATGAGTTTGATACTATACAGCTCATAAATATCTATAATGAAAAGTCATTGAAGAAAAATAACAATATCTGGACAATTGATAGAGAATTTCTGAACATAACTTCATCAAGAAACTCTATAATTGCAGGAGATTTCAATGCACATCATCCCTGATGAAATTCAGAATGCAAGAGAGCAGTGAGAGCTGATAATCTGATTGAATGGACCTTTGAGCATTCAATAGATTTGGTTAATAAGTCTGATCAACAAACATTCTTTAGAAAAGGCATGAAACAGAAGTCTATTATAGATCTAACCTTCATGTCACAAAATCTAATGAAAAGAAGACTTGTAAACTAGTTTATTGATTCAAATGAGACATCAGGATCAGGTCATGAGATTATTCAATTTGATATTGAACTGAGTGAAAAACAAATGAGTGAAAATCCTCTTCTCTCTAATCAGTATAACTTTGAAAAAGCTGATTGAAAAGCAGTTGAAGAAAGCATAAAACTGCTAAAATCTGAAAGACAGAATGAGCTATATTGGAATTCTGGTCAAGATATCTCAAATGAAATGCTTGAGAATAGAGTGAAGCTTATTACATCTATTATTCTAACAAGTGTTAGAGATAATATTTCAAAAAGAAAATCTTCTGAGTATTCAAAATCTTGATGAAATGAGAATATCTCATCTAAAAGGAAAGAATTAGCTACTGCTAGAAGATATTGAAAAAATGATGTAATATCTGATGAAGAGTTCAAAGCTGTCAGAAATGAATATTTTTCAGATATCAAAAGAGCTAAAACAGACTGCTGGAATAAATTTCTTGAAGAAGCACAAGGGAAGGAAATTTTTAAAGCTTTTAACTATACTAAAACAAGAAGTGTAGCAAAACTTCCAGCCTTAGAATATGAGTTTCAGAATAAATCATATACAGCAAACTCTTTTGAGGAAAAATGTCAAGCTTTCATGAGAATTCTCTTTCAGAACTCATCAGACTCAGATTCAGATTCAGAGGAAGAGAATATATCACTTCTCAACTACATTGATGAAAATGACTGGGAATGGTCTGATCTTACACAAGATGAATTAGAGTCAGCTATCTTCTCAAGTTCTGTTAAAACTGCTGCAGGTCCTGATTCAATTAATCACTTGATTATTCAAAATACATATTCCTACTTAAAGAATGAATATTTTGAGCTCTTTTTCAATCTCTTGAAAAATGGATATCATTCTGAATGCTGGAGAGAAGCCACTGGAGTGATTCTTGCAAAACCTAATAGAAAAACTTCAATTCCTAAGTCATATAGAGTAATATCTCTATTGAACTGTTTAGAAAAGGTTTTAGAAAAGATAATAGCTACTCAACTATCTTTTATAAGCTCTATAGATGATTCTCTTTTATTCAGTGAACAAATGAGAGATAGAAAACAGTGTTCTGCAATTGACACTGTTCTCTCAGTTGTTCATGATATTCAAATAGCAAAGCATGAGAGTCTGGTCTCAACTGCAGTTTTTATTGATATAAAGAAAGCATTTGATCATGTTTCAAAGTCAAAGTTAATTCAGACATTGAAGATATTAAAACTGCCACTTTCTCTAATAAAATGGATTAACTGTTTTATGTCTAAAAGAATTATACAACTCTTCTTTGATGGAATGAAACAAGACAAGACTGAGATAAAAATAGGAGTATCACAGGGATCTTCAATCTCACTCATTTTATTTGCAATATACACTGCATATCTATTCAAAAATAGAAATAT